CAGACAGTTATTTTCCTTTTGAATGTTTTTTTTTGTAATGCTAATCTCAGAGCAATTATTTTAGGGGCTGCATCATCTGGTATCAATAACAATAGTATCTATTTAATTGTATGATGCAGCAATTATTATTCCTACTACTGTTAGCTGCCGTCAAAGCCGGTAAAATTCTTGTCTATAGCCCATCTATTAGCCACAGCCATTTGATTTCTAATGGAAGAATTGCCGATACTCTTGTTAAAGCTGGGCATGATGTGGTGAGTTGTGTTTACGATGTTTGCTTGGAATGCTTCTAATATCGAATCTATAGCAAAATATAATATCTATTAATCTAAGCATAAATTGTAAGTACTGAGAATATAGTTTTGACTTAACACTTTCACTCTGCCACGTTGACTGCTTAAAAGTAGTTTTTCACTGAAATTTTCACTCATTTTTCACCTTAAAAGAAAGTTGTACCAGTATACCTTCAGATTGCGCAGTATTATTGTCAATATATATTCTAAGGCAGGACTTCATGAGGTTCTTGCACTCATGTCTAGCAAATCTTGGTACCATACGAGTATATTTTGAGTAATTACTGAATGGTCAGATTATAAGGAAATTAAATATCCAGTCTATCGCTTTTTGAGTTCCGCAAGCAGGTCGACTCGCATCTCTTATTGCTCTTAACTAATATCTTGTGGGCGCAAGCTACAATAATGCTAAGAAGCTGCAAAAAAAGAAGTCGTCACAAATGGTTGCATCGTAGAAACCTCTTTCACAGTGCATATTCTTCGAAAATGAAAAGGAGAGTAGAGCGCATAAAAATAGTGTAACAAATAACCCCCATAGGCTGACTTGTGATGTTCCTACTGTACAACTTGTGCACTCATAGAGAGAACATGGTATGCTAGGCTCAACATATTCTTCTCAAGCAGCTGAGTACAATGCTATTTTTTTGTTTTCGAGGTATAATCATTTTGAAAAAAAGTTATGTGATGCGATGTTTTGAGACGGGAGCCGGCGAGTTTTCCCAGGCTAGAAGTGAATCATTGGTAATTATCACTGTACTGAGGGCTGTAGCATATTTCATAGAACTCAAAAATTTCGAGCCCTTTTAGACTCAAATATTTAATAAGCGTTCTAATATCTTGAAAGATATCTAAGTATTAATGCTCACAAATGCTTCCATTTCGGGAATAGATGAAAAATTGGAAAGGTTATTACATAAAAGGATAATCAATTTGAACATATGTGAGCGCCAATATTTCAGGTAATGTTCATACCAGAATATGTGAAAGCGACATCGAATTTTGATGGAGCAAAGCTTGCCAAAATTGTGAGGATGAATGACATTAGTAAGTGGAAGTTTCCGAAAAATAGTTTTGTTCAGCTAACTTCATCAGCGCTTATACATTTATGCCACTCTTACTTCATCACAGCACAAGTACTTTCTTGCTATTTTTAGGCCCTAAATATGAAGAGGATATGGATTTTTGGGGAGATCGGTTGATGACGCAACCAAATCTAGGCTTCGCGGAGAGAATTTTCTGCGAATATTCTAATCAACATATGTGTGAAAGTAAGACGTTTCTAATATAAGCTCGAGATATGTTTTGGTGGTCGGTAGGTCATTATATTTTGGTAATAATTTGCAGTATTTAGAGCTAATGGCTCGCCGGGAAGAGCTGGAATTTTTGAAAAATTATGGATTTGATGCTGCCTTTGCGGAGCAGATCGATTTCTGCGGAATCGGAGTTATCAGGCAGGGTCTTTTGGTCGATTCACTTCTAAGTCTTAATTACTTTTCGAATTTCAGGTATCTTGGAATTCAGAATCTCTTATGGATCTCGACTACACCGCTTATGGATGCTGTGAGCTACAACCTAGGTTCGCTAAGAAGTT